TGTCAGTCTGTCCATTCTCCCTAGTAATTCCCAAGCCCGCTTGTCAAATCTGAATTAGGGGGTAGATATCTTCAGAGTTACATGTTTTCCTAAGGTGTCATTAAACTAGGGCTAGGTACTGGTAAGGTACTCACCTTACCTGTACTTCCTGTACAGCAAAAACTGCAGTGTGAGCTCACCCTTTATTAGTCACAGGAGAGTCCACATGGATGAGAGTGGCTTTTTCCCCTCAGGGTGGAAAAAGCTTCAGTAAAAATTCACACTTCATCAGACACTGGAGAGTCTGAGCATGAGGCTCAAATCCATAGGCCTCATTAGTTCCCTTAGTTATTAAATTATTAACAGTTTCCCTGACAAAGCAGAACAAAGCAGCTGCCTTCAGACAGATACAGAAGAGAACAATTTATACTGAAGCTTATGCAGGGCATTCAGATATTACATTTCTTAATAGCCTCGGTGCTTGTTGTTCTATACAGTTCCACCATCAAAGTAGCTAACTCAGGTTTCCGAGCTGATGCAGAAACTGCTGCATATGTCCAAAGGAATTACATACAGTCTCTTTTTGAGGTCAAAGCTCAACTAGAGTTTTAAAGGGTTCTCAAGGGCAACAAGAAGAGTTTCTGCCACAACTCCAAGAGGAAAAGACTGATAAAGGAAACTGTGGGCTTATTCCTGAATGAGGCAAATGACCTAGGAACACAGGAAACAGGTAAGGCTATGGTACCCAGAGCCATCTTTGCCTCAGATCTGCCATCATGGTCTCCCAGCTCTCTGTGCATTCAAAGAGGAGAACTGCCATCAGTGGGTGAGGATCAAGTTAAGGATTACATGGGAGAACCTGACCCATAAACATGCATAGGGTCAACTGAGCTGCATGTCAGGATGCTGATGCAGCTGGCTGTTGTCACTGCAAAGCTGCATTTCTATCTTTGAAATCTGTCCTGGGTTCAGCAGTAGCAGTCTTTTTTCTCCCTCTTAGTAGCTGGTGCAGTGCTGTGGTTTTGACTTTCAGCCTGGGAACAGTGCTGATAACACCAGTGTTTTTAGTTGCTGCTCAGTAATGTTTACTCTGACCAAGGACTTTCTGAGGCTCATGCTCTGCCAGGGAGGAGGGGAAGCCGAGAGGAAGCAGAGACAGGACACCTGACCCAAACTAACCAAAGAGGTATTCCATACCACAGCACATCATCCCCACTATATAACCTGGGGGCAGTTACCCAGAAGGGCTAGGTCACTGCTCGGGTCAGGCTAGGTATCGGTCGGCGGGTGGCGAGTGATTGTATTCTCTTCCCTTGTTATTTCACTTATTATTGGTGGTAGCAGTAGTAGTTTGTGTTATACCTTAGTTACTGAGCTGTTCTTATCTTAACCCATGGGAGTTACACTCTTTCGATTCTCCTCCCCATCCCTCCAGGAGCGGGAGGGAGGAAGAGGGGGAGTGAGTGCGCGGCTGTGTGGTTTCTGGGTTGCCAGCTGGGCTTAAACCACGACAAAAGTTCATGGAGACTGAGAGATGCCCCCAGTGACTGGAGAAAGGCAAATATTGTGCCCATCTTGAAAAAATCCCAAAGGGAAGCTGTCAGTTGATCAGCCTCACTGCAGTGCATGTGGAAATCTATGTCATCTTGGAACATGTTTCTGAAGGCAGGAAAGAGGAGGTGATGAGGAACAGCGTACATTTACCAAGGGTGAATCATGCCTCACCAATTGCAAGGCTTTGGACACCATCTACCACAGTCTTGTATCCGAATTAGGACATTATGGTGGGATGGATGGATGATTGGATGGATAGATGAATGGACAATCACATGAGTAAAAAACTGTTTGGATGATAGGGCTCAGAGGACAGAAGTTAATGGGCTCTACTCTACGTGGAGGCCAGTAAGAAGTGGAGTACTGTAGGGGTCTATCCTGGTACCTGACCTGTTAAACGTCTTTATCAATGCCTAGAGGAGATAACAGAGGGCCCTCTCATCAAGTTTGCAGATGATAGCAAATTGGTGGGACTGGTCAACGTGGTAAAGGGTAGAGCTGCCATTCAGAGGGAATCAGACTGGAGACATGGGTTGAAAAGAAACTCACGAAATTCAACCAGGGCAAATGGTACCTGGGACGGACTAACACCAGGCAGGATACTGGTGTGGGGAGCAGCTCTGCAGAAAAGGGCCTGCTGTCCTCGGGACAACCAGGCAAGCAATGAAGGCTAACATCACACTGGACTGAGCAGGAGCACAGCCAGGAGGTAGGGAAGCGATTACCATTCTCTGCAGCACTCAGACCACATCTGGAATACCGAGCTTTTCCACCACCACATAGTTGCAGCACCTTGCTGCAGGTCTTTTCAAAAGTTCTCTTCTCCTTCCAGGAAGGAAGAGGGGCACAACACCCACCGCAGCCTCTAGCAGGGGAGGAGAGACACAAGGGAAGGCCAGGTGTGTATTAGCACTGTAGAGGAAGGAGGTTTGTGCTTCCTGCTATGGGTGGAGAGCAGCATTTTCCACCAGTGCCAAGAACCATTTAGGGAGTTTCTGCCCACTGTGAAGGCAGCATGTATCGTGTCCCCTAACTCCTCACTTTTTAGTCAACACAACCAGTCCAACTGATGACATGCATAGCAGAGGCAGTTATGCAGGGAACAAGGGACCCTCATACTGACAGGAAACCTGGAATGTGGCCCAACCTGAATTACCCCAAGCAAGGGGAACAAAAATACCAGCCTGAGAACAGCACGCAGTCTCTTTGAGTCCTAGTTAGCACAGAAACAGTGCAGAGACATCGCCTTCCTATGGTACCTTTGCCCCACATCTAGTTCTTTGAGCTGATGACACAGTTCACAAGTTCCTGCTGCACTCTGACAGGAACAGGATATTAAAAGAACATCAAGCATAGAAATGATGGATGAAGCCGTGTGTGATGTAGCCTAATAATGCCTTGGTTCGAAAGGATTAAAATGTGTGAATCTGGAGGGGAAGATAGAGGCACAAGATCTGTGGACATGCCATTAGTGGTTTAGGTGATAAACTAATTAAACATAGTGAAGTTAGGAGTGGTTCTAAGGCTGGTGATTCGCATTCCTTTTCACTTATGGTTTTCAGCTTGGCCCAAGTTCTGTAGGGATTCCTAGTAACGCTGGGAGAGCTGGGGTAGGAAAAAGTGAGTCAGTTCCAGAAAAAAAATTTCCTTAGTGCTAACATGTTACTTTATAGTAGTTAGGAGTTTAACCCAGGAGTACTCTCTTGTCACTCTTTTGGGAAAGGTTGTGTTGGACAAAGTGCCAGGTTTCCTCATGTAAGTGTCACACTGGGTGTGGGGAAGACTTTGCCTGAACTGGAGTCTCAAAATCCCCCATCAACTTGCCACGGTAGAAGAATGCAGCATTGACCTGGGAGGAAGAAGGGAAGGCAGGGTTTAGAAAAACAGTCTTTCTGAAGAATAAGCTAATGGTGAGAGACTCTGAAAATAAATAGTGGAAAGGATTCTTTTAGTTTCTCTAGGATTTATGGGGTTTGAATACACTACATGGTAGGAAGTGTAGAAAATCAGTTATATATTTGCTCCCACAGGGAAAAAAATAATTTGTGTTAAAATCAAAATTAGAATTCTGATCACGTAACATTATGCAACCCCAGTATTTGCTACTGAAACGTGAATGCTAATGGCTAGGATATGACCTATAGTCCACCATGCCACTTCAAATGAATGAAATGAGTCCATCATGTTCTAAAAAAAAATGTAAAACCTTTTTATAGTATTATTATTGTTATTTATTTTTAGGTATGTTCAAACATATATTACCTAATGAAGTGTCCTTAATACATACCCCTGATTTAACAGGAATTCCATGCGCTTACAAGAGAACTGCACCCAGTGCACTGCAGAAAGTAGCGAGGTGCAATGTGGAGGGAGACCTGTAGCTGAAGACATGTAAAACCGCATCTCAAGGATGTAATGCCATGGATTTAAAAATAAGCAATTTATTGGAAGGAAAGCTTGAGAATTGCACTTGTGAGGGCAATTGTAGTCATGGAACAGTAGTAATCATGTTTTACGCAGCAAAATGTGTTTCCCTGGAATAAGCGATGTTCACCTAAAATGATAGTGTTGCTATTCTTACAAGTGCAACATTTTTGAAATTAAACATTTTAAAGGTCCATGTCAACAAAGGATTTGGGGTAAGGTTTTGTTTTGACTTTTTTTTAAAATTCTGATGAATGAAATACTGAATTCTTACACATGTCCTTGTAGCGCTGCAGCAAATACAGTCAAAATGACCTCTGCCAGCACAGTAAAAGCCAATGGTTAAAGCTGTGTAGTTAAATTCACCCCCTGGAATGAAGAGAGAAGGGCAGAGCAGTTTTCCAGGGTTAGCAGATTTAAGCTGCACATTGCCAAGAATTCATAGCTCCAGCCCTGGCCCATGCTTCCCTACCAGTGCTGCAGAAATGGTATATCCACCTGCTCCCCATCTTCTATCTGGCTCTGTGCCTTGTAGTCCAGGAGACAGACCTCTTTTGTTGTTGTTTTTTTTTGTCGCTTTCACTCAGTCTCTCTATGCTCAGTCTTCCTTTTCTTTAGATGGCCTGAGAAGACTGCTGTGTGTTTTATTTATCAGATTTCTGATTTAAGACTTAGTAGCAAATGTATAGAATTTCTCAATTCAGGCTGGAATGAAAAAAAAAAAAAAAGTGGTTTTCTTATAATGATTTTGCTTCTGAAGCTGAATAGGTGCACCAGAAACTGGGGTCTCTGGAATAGATAAAGAAAGAACCAATTTTCACAGAAAACATATCTTAGAAAAAGGCAAGAGAAGAAATAGAAATGAGACTTCACAAGCTTCTGGTTTATAAGATCTGCCACATAATGTATTGGTTGGAAACTTAATGCAAAATAACTATGCTCATACAATGTATGATCATTTGAACAACTAAGAGATTTACAATGGCTTAGACAATCTTTGTGCTGCTACAGGCACCTTCTATATGCTCTTCAACATTCTTCCCATTTCACAAAAAGAGAAACAATACTGGAGCCACATTTTTTTTAAATATCCAGGTTTAACTCCAAATGAGAGGCAACCCCAAACATAATTGAATGCAGAACTTTAAATTTCATTTCCATGTTTAAACAACGACATTCTCTTGCTTAACCACTGGTAAATAGTATTTGTTGTCCTTTTACAACTAGGGTATTTAAAAAAGAAACAGGATGTCATGGTTCCTAATTGGAACATTCACATGGAAGGGTTGTGAGACTTCAAGACAAATGCATGGATTTCTCTGTGTTCCTGCAGTAACTTTAATAGAGATGAGACGGATTTGTCACTGACATTTCTGAAACTATGTTGACATTTTCTTGAAGTTCTACTGAGCCCTTATCTGCAAACAGTCCAACTGAGAATCTAAGGGACCAGATTCTTTGAGGACTGAAACCAATCAAGTTATGTCATGAAGCCACTGTTGTGCTTGTTCTCCATTTCAGAGAAAGACCAAAATTAGTCTTTATTTGGACATACAGCAGGAAAATGTGATCTGTTTGAACTCCCTTCTTCACTCCACCAGTGTGAGGAGTGGAAACTCAAGGGAAAAACAGAAGGGTTGAATTATTTTTTTTCTCAGTGTTTGATCGCTGTCTGTGAAGCAGCATTTGTCCCATGGCACTAGAACCACATTTACTGTGGGACTATGTTAGAAAATTATCAAGACTGTTTAATATTACTGTCATCTATAAATGAGTCTATATTACTCACAGTGCACATACGCTTTGCTCTATTTTACTCTCATGTCAATGCAACACCATGATTATAAATCAAACTGAGGATTTGACAGACTAGTGCAGTTACATCTTTCTTGCTGCTCCCATTGATCACTGTAACGTACGCAATGTGCCATTTGAAAAATGAACAAACTCCAACATCCAACAGATTCTTTTACTTCATTTAACAGCTGATTGCATCTTGGTCATCAAAGATCATAGAATCATTAAGATCATTAAGTTCCAACCTCTCTGCCACAGGCAGGGACACCTTCCACTAGACCAGGTTGCTCAAAGCCGTTTCCAACCTAGCCTTGAACACTGCCAGGAATTGGGCATCCACAGCTTCTTTGGGCAACCTCTTCCAGTGACTCACCACTCTCACATTAAATAGTTTCTTCTTTATATCCAACCTAAATCTCCCCTGTTTAAATTTAAACCCATCACCCCTTGTCCTATCACTACAGGCCCTTGTAAAAAGTCCCTCTCCAGACTTCTTATCAGCCCCCTTTAGGCACTGGAAGCTGCGTTAAAGTCTCCCTGGAGCCTTCTCCAGGCTGAAAAAGCCCAGCTCTCTCAGCCTGTTTCCATAGCAGAGGTGTTCCAGCCTTCTGATCATCTTTGCGGCCTTCTCTGGACACACTCCAGCAGCTACACATCCCTCTTGTGTTGAGGGCCCCAGAGCAGGTAGGATCTCATGAGAGCAAGAGTAGAGGGGCAGAATCACCTCCTTTGAACTGTCGGTCATGCTTCTTTTCATCCAGCCCAGCACATGGTTGGCTTTCTGGGCTGCAAACCAAATTTTTTTTTGTTTGTTTTGACTAAAAAACTTGCTAGGTAGCTCATGTAATATTTGTGAAATTATAGTGGATTATAGAAATATATTTAAAGCAGTTAAAATTCACTAATATCCAAGCTCTTCAAAAGGCACTGTACAATCTTGTCAGTAAAAAACAAATATTCTACTTGAGAAGTAAGAGGCACATTCCTTATCTGTTATTTGAACAAAGAAAGGGTGGAGACATTTCTCAACCACTCACCTATTTAGTTTCCAGGTGGAATCACACCTGATGGGCTTACACTGAAGAGCATAAATTACATAAATTTATGTAAGCTTTTTTGACCAGTAATACATTTGGTCATAATACCTTTTCTTTCACATCAATAAAATATAATCGTTGTGCAGGTTGGAGAAGTTCTTCAAGACACCAGTTTCTTACTTTTAAATTGCTCACTGCATTTTTTTTAATTTTTTTTATGTTTTACTTGGTTTAAAATCAATGATGTTTTATCATGTCTCAAGGAAACACAAGCATGTACATGTAATAAAACCGTTATACTTGTTTGTGCACTTAACATGCTAGCTGACTAGGCAAGCAATTATGCTAATCTAGCTGCTAAATGTGTTTAGTACTTGTGCCAGAGGTACAGCCACACCCGTCTGCTCTATCTCCTGCCATGGCACAAGAGTTCAGGAGCAACAGTGCTTCTTCTATCCATGGAAATCTCTGTAAGGAAGTCCATATGTTGCAAGTCTTTTCCACTCCAAACTTCCCAGTCCTCAAATACTTGTCTTAAGGATATTTGATCCACAGATCATTGGGAAGGACTCACTGCTGAGTCATAGAGAGCTTTTTGAAATCTCTATGACTGCTTTTCAGTCTTCAGTGGATCTGCAGGCTTGTTCTGAGAGAGTTAAAGAAATGCAACTGAAATGAAGTTCAGTCATGTTGTGTCTCCCATAGGTACGTGGGAAATTCCACTGTTCTGCCCTCACTAAAAGGGTCTTCGCTTCTTGTAAGAGAAAAAGGATCTGCAAAGGGTTGGGAATCGCATTGCCAAGGAGGGCAAAACTAGTCTGTAGAATCATAGAGTAGTTTGGGATTGGTTAGACCTTCAAAGGTCATCTAGTCCAACTCCCCTGCAGTGAGCAGGGACATCTTCATCTAGATCAGGTAGCCCAGAGCCACATCCAGCCTGACCTTGAATGACTCCAGGGATGGTACACCCACCACCTCTCTAGGCAACCTGTGCCAGTACTTTACCACCCACACTGTAAAAAATTTCTTCTTCACAACCAGCCTGAATCACCTCTCTTTTAGTTTAAAACCATCACCCCTCATCCTATCACAGCAGGCCCTTTTGAAAAGTCTCTCTCCATTTTTCTTACAGGCCTCTTTTAAGTTCCGAAAGGCTGCAATAAGGTCTTCTCAGAGCCTTCAGGCTGAACGACCCCAACTCTCTCAGCCGTTCCTCATAGAAGAGATGTTCCATCCCTCTGATCATATCTGTGGCCCCCTCTGGACCCTGTCCAACAGCTCTGTATCTTTCCTATAATGAGGACTCCAGAGGTGGACAGAGTACTCTAGGTTGAGTGTCACCAAAGCAGAGTAGTTGTTTTCTTTTCTTCACATTCCCCTTGTGGGTCACACATAGGATCTTAGCTGTCTTCTGAGCAAACCCAGTGAGGTCTGGAGGTGCTGAGATACAGAAAGAGAGCAAGTTTTAGGAGAGGTGGTAAATTGTATTTCTCAAAAGGTGATAAATAACTTATTTTGTCTAAAAGCCAGAGGAGGCAATGTCAAGCCCTGGGTCTGTAGGCATCTTCCTTCATAAGTACCTTGGAGGTACAGTCTAATTCTAAAGCCCAGTGTTGTCAGGACTAGATTCCACATAAATCTGACTACTTAGAGTTGGCCACTGGTGGCTTTGGGCTCTGAGCCTTATTCATGTCTCTGGAATAATTACGCAGAAGCCTTTGTGGTGCCAGCCAATGGGAAACAGTAGGCACATAGATTTAGGTAGAATTCAGGCCAGCAGAATCTGGGACTAAGATCAATATTTAATTAATTGAAGGTGTTATTCACCCCTCTTTCCCCCTCATTATGGATAACTAGCAATCAGTCTTTTCTTTCTTTTAGAGGTCTGAACATTTATGCAACCAGGAACAAATATATCCCAACCACCTTTAGGCTTTCCACAGTTAGTCCTATCAACTATGCTCCAGAGTTGAATCACATACCTTCTAGCAGCAATATTCAGAGCACAACTGAGTGGCTGTCAGCTGGCCAAGCTTGCACATGCTTGACAGTGCATCTCTGGTTTCCTAGGCAGCCCTTGCCCAGGTCCTCCTGTAATGTTCCAAGGCACCCAGGAGACATTTCATTACTGCCACTGCTCATGGTTTTGTACATCTCTAAGTAATCAACACATCAAAGATGCATTTGTGTTGAAGTTTCTAACACAATAAAATAAATTGCTGACCATACAAAGCTGATTGTACTTGTAGCTGTTAAACTCAAGAGCCTTGCTAAGAAGTTTGAAGTTGAAATTCTACCTTATTTATCTCACCTACATTGCCAATATGGGCTACTGACTATTACCACTGTTTTCCTTATTATGCTGTCCAGCAGGCCACTGTTCATCAGCTACCCTTGGCTTTGATCTGACTTATTTATCTGCTATTGTTCAGGACTAGTTATTTTTCAAATGTCTGTCACAGCCCGTATTTCTAATGTTATTCTGCAACCGTCAACAGTTTACCTCTTACCTTCCATGGTGGGCCATCAGGCTGAACTTTCTCTAGAGAGTCTTTAATGTGTACACAGTATCTTTGCTCAAGAATAGGCTATTTGTTTCTTAACAGAAAGAGAAGGGGGTAATAAAAGCATTGGGTATTGAGGAGATTGGCTAAAATCTTTTTGGTGAGCTTTTCCTTCAAAACAGAAAATACCTTGTAAAGAGCAAATATTTTTGGGGAAAGCAAAGGTTTAATTACAAGGTTTTTTTAGTCAGTCTTCATATGCGTTCATTCATCTGTCTCTAGAGACTTCACAACCCCTGTCACAGATGTAGGCTTGATAATGCACCTTATCTTCTCTTGTCTACACAAACTGGTCACAGATGTCTGAAAACTACATTTTCCATGGCAGGCCGAGGCTTTAATGCTTTCCCATGAAGGAGAGATAAGAGCCAGAACACATGTAGACTGCATTACAATTTTATCTGTAAGCAGGGATGTGTGAAGTTTCTAAAAGTTGTTGACACTTTCATGATATATTCTATCTCCATTAGAGGGGTAGTGAATGGGGTTACATGATAAGATACCATTTTGATTGCAAAAAACTTCTCTCCTTTTGCCAACCCAGAACCGTTCTCCATCACTTCTCTTATGTAATGAAATACACACCCTTATCATTTTTCAGCCTTATTCCTCTTTCTTATCATTCATATTTAATGTATTTCTACCTTCTATTTTATAGCTGTTTACATTTTATTGATTTTTGGGTACAGTTTACAAGTCACTGATTTATTATCTTTCACTCCTCTTTGTGCTGACAGGGAACATTGGTATTTTTCCACTTCAGGTATAATTCGAAGTAAAAAGAAAGATTTGTGGTCGAAACCAGTGACAATGTACACGTTTAAGCTGTGCTAATTGTTATTACATGGATTTTTAGAAGAAGAGAGAAGGAAATTCATGGTAAAGGATGACACCCAATTTTCTGCTCACTAGACTTGGTATTGCAGCATATGCAATGTAATAGCTGTCACTGTTTAGAGGGCTGTGCAATGTCTGACATGAGAAAGGACATAGAGGATTCAGGCCAGCTTTTTTAAACTTCGGTGCTGGAAGGTGGGTATCCCGTATGTTTGAGCCAAGGATGAATTTAAGAGCCTATAAGTTTAAGAATGGAATACAATGGCATGTGTGCATGAAAATAAAATGTTTAATTTAACAAATACTGCTAGAAAATGAGCCAGGATATTTCCTTCACAGGGTGGGGGCTGGAGCAGCAGTGTGGCCTGTATCACTTTCCAAGTGGAGATGCTGTGGAGGGGCAGGCAAGAGGCAGCAGTATGAATAAAACCTTGGAGGGGGGACACACAACATGGGACAGGGACCAGGTGCAGCTACAGGGCACTGCTCAGTTCCCTGCTGATGGCAGCAGTGCGGAGGACTGGCATTAGAGGTTTGCCACTATTACCACACCAGGCATCTCTAGAGCAAGGACCAGGTCCTCCTGGGTGCAGTGCCATTTGTCCTGCCCTTTGCTCCTCTCTGCTTTTTACAGCAGTTTTTTGAGGGACAGAAGAGGAAAAATAGGCTACAGTACTGCAGCTGTGTTGACAATAACCAGTCCTGTTTCTGTGGTTCACCTAAAGACGCTGATGCTGTTGAAAACCTCACACATTGTTAGTGGAGGATCGAGCTCATGATGAAACAGCTTTACAAAATTCCACCTAACAGAAGTGACTTATTGCTTAGGAAGAATAGTCTTTTTCACTCCTTATGGAAGACATGTGCCTACCGTTTGTTGGTTCACACACAGAGGCTCTAGGTGGGTTCCCATTGCACAGTCACACATCAGCAGTTTCTAGGAAGTTTCTCGTTTTTGTCTGGCTGGGATGCTGCAGCAACATATTTTTTTCCCCATAGCAAGCCTTGCTATTGCAAGTGAGCTAGTTGTTCCTTCACAGCTAAATTGCTGCAACATGTTCACCTTTGGGCTGTATCTGCAGTCAGTCTAGGAGCTGTAGGCAGCTACTCTTTTACTGAACAAGGTACTTTGCTGCGAGCAGCAGTCTTACAAGATCAGCTGCTGGTTTTGATATGAACAGCTTGCACAGGATTTACTTACCACATCCCTTTTCTTCTGTCAAAGAAAAGGATAGAGCACAGATTGGAGCTCCAGATAATGGAAGGACACTTTCTGTGAGGAGCTCTCAGCTTTGTCATTTGCTCGAGGCTGTTTGGGGGCTGCGAGGAGGGGGGTGGTAATGATCAGAACAGGCTGTGAGTCTCTTCTGTTTTCCCAGGATTTCAGAAAGGATGGGTCTAGACCTGACAGCACTGCCGTATCTGTTGCGTTTGGAAAAATTTTTAGTAATATGGCTGAAATACTATCCTATGATCTCCAGTTGCTCATCATAAACAGTAGCACAGCTCTCACTGGGATTTTATGCCTTGACCCCACCTCACTGAGTCTACAGGAGGTTCTTCAGGTGCTCTACGCCTAAGCACATCGTAGGCCTTGCCTTTTTCATGGCCTCTCTCACACACTGCTTGACCACAGGCTGTTTCTGTCTTTTCCTTAGAAGAAAGGGAATTTTGTGTAGAAATCATATGTCCCAGGCCCACAGCTTCCCTCCTTTGGACTGCCCAGCAGCTTAAGAAACTCCTGCTTTGAGGTCCAGCACTGTGAGTGTTTGAGGGTTCCCAGCTCACCTCTCTGACCATCTGGGACAGAGGAAACAGGCAGATTTTGTGACTATTCCTAAATTAAACAAGCACACATACCTGGATGGTGTTTCCTACTGCCATGGTCAGGGGCAGAATAGGAGTCTTGGCAAGGCATTTCTAGTATTCTTATGTCCTACATCCGTCAAAAGAAATATACTGCTCTAGAATAAAAAAAAAAAACAAAAACAAACTCCACAGTATATCAATAAGCAGCTCTACATATTTCACTGTTTGAATTTCTTCACCACTTGATAGTGTTCTTTCGGTTTAAGTCTAATGCTTCCTGAGCACACAGGATCTTCCTCTCAGTCCTCCCCACAGTTATTCTCCATCCCTTTCTCAGCTGGTTCAGTAGCTAGACCAAATCAACCTGCTTTTTCCCTTTCCTGTCAAGTTCCTTGCATCTCCACATCTCTAAGTCTCTCAAGCCTTGCAGCGTTTAAAATCACAGGTTAATACATAATCTCTTTCTCCAGTTTATCGTGTAAGTCTCCTCTTCCAAACATCCACCCTGCAAACAAACTTTGCAGAACTAGTTTTGCCAAGTCTCACTCTGCCATCATACATTTTGATGGCTAGATCAGAGGAAAAGAAGGCAACAGAGGGATGAACTGACACTGCACCTGACATAGAAATCTTAAAAAGCATTGCAGTGCTGTATTTCTAATTAGTGGATAAAAGGAGGAAAACAGAGTGTTTGATGATGTTCGCCCAGAACACTCAATGAAAAGGTACAAGCAGAACCCACTAGAAACTGGCATTTGTGTGGATCATATGTAAATATTTCAACTAAAAAGTAGTGTACCTCCTGTGCCAGGAACCTAGAGACTTTGCCCAAATCCTGTTATTGATTTCACACTCTGACCTGACAGCTGTTGAAAGTCAGTATTGGTCTAGTTCTAGAAAGGGAAGGAATCTGCTGGTCCTTAACAGCGCCCAGTTAAATCTATTATATTGAGCTGCAAACACTTTAAATAGGGCCTATGTATCTGTTTGTTGAGGTTCTCTTGAACAGAATGAAAAAAGTGGATTTTTGAGCTAGATGGGAAAAAATATAGAAGATTCCTTAAGGCATTCCAAAAGGAAAAACAAAAAAGAAGAAAAGAAATTCAATCTGCTTTGTTGCTGAAGGAGGTCACACTTCATGCTGTATGTGGATAAAAGACAAAACAATTTCCCACTTTCCATTTCTGTTCTATATTGCCAGGTAAGTTGTTGTCATTGTATTCCCCGCAAGAGAAGCTTTAGCAGTGTTGCCAAATAAACCAGATTAGTGTTCAGGGACATTTGCTGGAAGTGATGCCAAATCCATTCTTGATCCTAATTATATGAAATATGCTCCAATAATTTTCCACAAGGTGAATAAAAATAATGCCAGAACTGCCGCTTTCACGGAAGCTCAGTTAGGAGGTATTCAGTAATCCCAAGACATATCATAGCTTCTTCTATGCAATTATTTTCTCATTTTTATAAACTGATGTTTAACTAGAGAAGATGAATATCCTTATTTCTGGCACCAATATGAGAGTGATATCAGGAGAGAGAAAAAAACAGACAAGATCTGGCCCATATCCCAGTGTTAGGCAAACTGACCTTTAGTTTTGATCCTGCAAACATAGGAGATACACACTGGAACACAATGTTCATTCCTGAATCTAAAAGAAGAAATGAATAGCCACGTAACTTAGAAAATAAAATCAGATTCAACAAATTATCCTTTGTTAGTCATGGAATGTTTCCTGCAGTGTACAATACCCTGTTCTGCAATGAATTTCCAATTTCATGATGACTGATTTGCAGCAGCCAACTAAGAAAGAGGTATGTGTCAAAACCAGGCACTTGCTACCAGC